TCTCTCTCTCTCTCTCTCTCTCTCTCTCTCTCTCTCTCTCTCTCTCTCTCTCTCTCTCTCTCTCTCTCTATCTATCTATCTATCTGTCTATCTGTCTATCTATCTATCTATCTATCTATCTATGACACGCTGGTGTGTTCACTTGGCTATGACCAGATTTGAACAAATGTGTAACAATTGGCGGGAATTTCGAACTGCGGCAACAATACTTACTCGTCACATGCTTCCTCGTGGGCATTCCCCCCGGCCCTTGCTAAGAGGTGGACCTGCTACATGCACTCTCCCCAACGCCGCTATTTTACACATGTGACACATCGCTGACACATGCTGCAATGGTCCCTGCATCATCCACTTTCTTCTTTGCCCACACAACGCTCTCTTCCTGCCCCTGCTTGGTCATCTTTTGCTATTGCAGTTTCCGTTACTGCATTTTCCACTACTATGATTTCTGCTGCTGCAGTTTCCACTGCTAGAGATTCTATTGCTCCAGTTTTAACTTCTGCAGTTCCTACCACAGCTTCCTCTGCTGGAGTTTTCAGTGCAGCAATTTCCATAGCTGGAATTCCCCGTAGTATACTTTTGCTGCCACAACTTCCTCTGCTGCAGCTCCAGTGCAAAGAACATCAATCTCTCCAACACTCATGTCCTTTGTTTTGGAACCTTGCCCAATCCATCCCCTTTCATCTTTTTTTGTGCTTGGCCGCAGAGCGGCAGACGGCTGCATTCCCCTTTGCCACCCCCATCTGCTCCACGGTTTCACTTGCAAACAGACCCTCTGGTTCCCATTGTTCTCATTGTTCCACCTTTATTGCCAGAGACATGTTCATCTTCAGCTTGCAAAACCACTACTCGTAGTTTGTATCGCCGACGATCTTCAGCTTGCAAAACCACTACTCTTAGTTTGTATCACCGACGATATGTGCCGCATTGTCACTTGTTCGAGGATGAGCAACCTTTTTTCTTTTTATCTGTTTTTTTTCATAGGAAAACAAACCTCGAGGTTCTGGCTCCACATCCATTTTGGGGAGTATCATTCTGGTTCATATTCCACCGGCAAGTCAAAAAGAATTACAATGAGTAATCAAACACACTCCTTCTCTTTATGGTAGGAAGGCCCGAAGGACGACGTTGATTACTTCCCAAAGGAAGGATGTACCATCCCTCACGCTGCCTAAGTTAGCCTGATTGACGTATTCTTGGACATGAGGGGTCTCAGTGACGAACTATTTTTTGTGTTCGCGCGACTTTCTGCTCGTTGCTGCTTGGGGAAATACGACGGGTCGGATGGGTGAACTGTGAGAAGATGGGTCGGGCGGGCGGGCACGAGAAATTACTGTACCATAACTTCTTTCTTGTTCTGCTGTTGAGCACTGGGGAGTTTTGGCGCGATCATCGCGCGGCAATATTGTTTTTGAATTTTCAACTGATGTCGAGCCCCCATGGGCTTGCGGAATTGTTTTTCTCTCTTTTGGAATTTCCTTTTGCAATTAGGACTTAGGCTAGGAATCTAGGAACGCTTAATTTTGTCGTGCCACGCTTGCGCTCATCTTGCTGCGCTGGGAGCTGAGCTCTGACTGGATCGCGCCCTTAATCTTTTGCAACTGTCGTTCTTGGCGGGCGCGATTGTAACTGTATCTTTCTTCTTTCTTGGTTTCCTCGTGTGTGCCCGCCTTCTTCTTCTTCCTCGCCTCGCATACTCTGTTCTAATTGGTCGGAGCGCCTGCATGACCGGATCGATGCGTGGAGCGTGGCTACGACCCCCACGTCGCGGCCTGGCCGTGCAGACGTAGGCACTTCCCCCTTTCTCCTCTTGTCCACCTGGGCTTAATCCCGTACCTTTCGCGCAGGCATGCATGTTATAAATTCTGCAAGCGCGATTAGTTGGCTCTCTAAGAATTTCGAGGTTACCGCGATCAGTGAGGGTCGGCTAACGAGCAAGTTTTGAAGGTGAGCGAGTGAGGCAGAGTTGGGCGATCCGACGAGCTAGTGTCAGGTATGCGGGGTTGACGTGTGGGGCCACGACGGACTGTGGCGCACGGGCGAACCTGGCTTGCATGCTCGAACCAAGCGGGGTGACAACTCTGTGTTGATGCGAGGTGACGGACTGCCCGCATCGGGAGTGTGGAGAAAGAGAGAGAGAGAGAGAGCAGTCGTGGGTGTGGGATGAGGTTCTTTTCATTGTCCCTTTCTTTTCTCCTGTTCATCTGTATAATTTTGGATCTGGATATGGTCGAGTTTATCGCGGCCTTCTTTTTGGACTTCTCTTGTAAATCGTCTTGGGTTTTCCTTGTCATTTTTTGTATGTTTGCACGGAATGAATGTGAATTGCCTTTTATTTGTGATCTTTTCGGATTTCCAATCTTGTTTTGCGATGCCCGTTTTGTCTCTGTCTACTGTTCACTTGCGGAGTTATACGCTCAGATATGATTGAAAACACTCGATTATGGATGTTTTGGTTTGGTCGTTAACTTTCGATCACCAAGAGTGCTATAAGAAGTTGATGATCCTTTCTCTTCTTTTCTCCTTTTTGTCATATGGATGGCATGTAATGACCAGACCTCACCCAACGTAGCATGAGTAGGATATTTGCATGTATGCCCAACGCGATCGATACACTAAACCAATCCCCCCCCCGTTTCCCACATGCGCGCTCGCGTACAGTCGC